ATTTTTTTACTATGTCCCGCTTCTGACGGAAGAATCCCGCTATTTTTACGCAAAAAGTACCAAGTCCCGACTTGGCGAAAAAAAAAACTGGCAACGCTGGCTGTTAATGTTTTCGGGTTTTGGGTTTTAATCTGAAAGAAATTAATAACCTTGGATACATAAAACCTAATTTTTTACCTTCTTAAATATTAAACTTGCCTTATCAACGAATCGGCTGATATTTAAGTATCTATATTTTGTTTAAATTAAAAATCTTGGCATACATTTACAGACCGACACGCGAATTAGACACTATTAGTACTTACACGAATGGCCCAATCATCACGAAATCTCAGAAACACAAGTGCAGGAGTCTCAAATGTTGCGTGGGGGTTCCTTTTAGAACGTAAGTGCTCACTAAGAAGGGATTTTGCGAAATTCAGCCCCTTAGGTGGTAAAACGGATTCCACGCGTACGAAGTCGCGGGCGGCCGCTAGTACCTATATTATAAACTAGCTTTCCGCCCGCGGCTTCGCCCGCGTGGAATTTTGTCTGTCACAGAAAAACTTTATCGCGCGCGTCCCTGTTTCAAAAACCGGGATAAAAACTATCCTATGTTCTTTCCCGGGACTCAAACTATCTCTATGCCAAATTTCATCAAAATCGGTTGCGAGGTTTAAGCGGGAAAGCGTAACAGACAGACAGACAGACAGACAGATAGAGTTACTTTCGCATTTATAATATTAGTTGGGATAGTTGGGATTGAGAATAGCAACGCTTGGGACGTCTGATTTGCTAATACGCCCACACATTAATAGGAGTTACATTTTAGGTACATTAAGTATCTAAATCAAAGTGACTTATAAATAACTTGCTTAAAGCTAGTTAATGGTATTGAATCACATAGGTACTTACATTATTCACATTATGAGCTGTCAAAACGCAACACTACTTTGCCAACTCAATTGACTAAGTTTTGATCAAATGAGCAAAGCTAATCTTAATTTGACAGGTAATTAAAACTATTTCACCACAAGGGGACCGACGACCTTATAAAGGTGGCAGAAAGGCGCTGGATGCAGGCCGCTACCAACCGGACGATGTGGAAATCATTGGAGGAGGCCTATGTTGAGCAAGGTACTGAAATGATTATGATATTATTATATTTACTAAGTTAATTTTGTTTGTTGAATAGTCCATTTATCGAGGTAGGCTTTAGGCTATTTAACATCACCCTACAGCCAATAGGGGCGGAGTAGTAAAGAAAAATTTTGCACAAACGGGAAATATTTTTCAAACTATTTTCACGCGTAGTACGAAGTCGCGAGCACAGCTAGTATTTTTGATAAGGAGAACCCAATTAGTAAATTACGAATTGATGTTTTATGTTATTGTGATTTCCCTTCTTATGGGTGAAGGGCTCAAACATTATTATCCATTTTCCTTCCTCGAAATCTGTCGGTGCTCCGAGGGGTAATCCTAAAGCCAATTAAGTAATCCAATCAATACAGTCTCCAGCTTTTCTCGTATCATTTTCCCTATTCTCTGATGCTTAAAAAAATAATATGGGATGGCTTGAAATTATTGATTACTAGCTTTTGCCCGTGGCTTCACCCGCATGAAATTTTGTGTCACAGATCGGCATAAATTATAGCCTATATGTTAATCTGGGTTACAAACAATAATAATGTAAAGTTTCATCAAAATCCGTTCAGTAGTGTTTGCGTGAAAGAGTAACAAACATCCAGACATCCAAACTTTCGCATTTATAATATTAGTAGGATAGGATGGATGGTTGGAAATGATTGATCATGCCTAAAATCTGCTTCATAGTTTTTAATGGCCACAATAATTGCTTAAAATCGAGTTTCGATTCGATAGACCCATATGAAATTACATACAATATGACGTAGTATTGTAAGCACTATTGATACTAGTTTTAATTCAATTGATATTATGTATAGTGATTGTACCACTATAGTTAGGTCACCTTGTGGACAGACGACCACATTATAGGTCATATAGGTGGCTAAAGTCGAGTATTTAAAGATAATTTTTTTTTTTTTATTTTATTTACACTTTTGCACATACATATGTACAGTGGCGGGCTTAATGCCAGGTGGCATTATCTGCCAGTCAACCACATATCTTCACTATCACACTCTTTGATACGAAAATATCGTATCAAAGAGCGATGGAGAGCTACAGTAGGTATCAAGTCGGATGTCAGAATTTTCTTCACCCACTGCCAATAACCAAACTCTAAGCCGACTGAAGCAAACATTGGGAAAATATAGAAAAATGATATTCCAAGCCTGTTATTGTTAGCTAAAAGGAATATACAAATAAAATCACATCTCAATTTAAGCTGTCGATTTACCGAAACCTTTACCTTAATAATATAGTTTATTTTCTATAGGAAAGATATTTTTTGTATCACGTGTCTGAAAGATAAGTGGTGCGCGTAGCTGAGAATATACGCTTCAGTTATTTTGTGCTTCAGTTAAGGGACGCGTGATTAAGGCTGCGTTGCACCATCTTACTTTAACTTTGACAAACGTCAAGAATCTGTCAAACTCTATACAAAAAACACCGTTTTTCGACAAAGTTACGGTCAAAGTTAGGTGGTACAACTCAGCCTAAGTCATATGAGACGAAGAGCTACGAATCGAAGATAGTACTTAGTCATGAAAAAGTATTAATTAATTACTAAAGAAAATAAGTAGAGTATTTTAGTGTGCCAAATAAATGTATTTTCTTTCTTTCTTCTTTCTTTCTATTTACAAATATAAACCATCAAAATGTCCTTATACTATTATTCCTTCTTCTTCATTATCCTTAATATTAATATGTGAGATTGGATAGATGGATGGATGTTTCTCTTTTATGCAAAAACTATTATTATTTAAAGATTAGAATTACTTATACTGATATGAGTTCATTGGCCAAATTCCAATGATAATTAACAAGAAATTCAGTCTTTCTGAGATAAACTGAATTTCACGCATGTGAAGCGTGGGCAAAAGCTAGTATCGTATAATTAGGTTTAGACCCTTGATGTTATTTCAATTAAAACAAAAGACTTTGTAACAATATGACTAAGCTATTCTTGATTTAAATACGTAATTATAACACATAATACCTACTTAGAAAATTAGCTTAAAAGAGTCGGAAGCCATATTGTTCGTTTCTTTGAGGCATGATGAGGGATGAATGACCGTAATTGTTTAAATTGTTAGTCACAATAAATACAGGGTGGCAAATAGAACTGACGTTAATCAAGACTGGGTCTAAATAAGTAAGCGGACTTAAAAAAATACTTACTTGATTCTATTAGCATACACAGAAAACTTTCTGAAATATAGATTTAAAATACTACTGTCTCGTGGAATAACTCAAAAGGCCAGAGGCCTGAGCATCTAAAATGCGTCATTATAGTTATTGATTCCACTTATAGTTAGTGATTGCTTCGCCACGTCTCGAAAGGAAGTGCAAAATGGGAGATGCGATTTTATCATAATTTATTTCTAAAGTAAACCGAATGTCACATTGTCTACAAAGCTGCGTGTAACTCAAGAAACAGATTAACGCCCGTATTCAAAACCATTACTATGAGGTCTCATAGTGGTCGTGGACGCACAGGGTAACACACGAACCAATCACAGAGCTCTATTGAACGCTGTGCATTCGATTTGCTGCTTCACTTTAACATCATCGCATCGTTTACGAATACGTACTCGCATATCACTTAAGTAGGTACTATTTTAAGTCCAAAAAAGCTCTTCGTCAAAAAATATGACTACACAAAATTCCAAAAATAACTTCAAGTCTGTATTCACGACACGCTATCTAGCCTCAAGGTGAGACGTTTTAGGTGTAGGTATGCTTTATATCTATCTACGCCAACAGATTCTGGCAAATTTGTAAAAAAGTGTGATGATATAAATCGACTCAAACTTAAATAGTAGGTACATTACTTCACCTTGCAGCTAAAGATAAGTTAACTCAAATCTCTAGATACGAGCATTAGCCCCTTTTTGTTGCCCTTTAGTTCCAGCGAATCAAGACAGTAGAAATTAAATGATACCTGAGTCAGTTAATGTTTAACGGCTTAAATACTTTTTTTTTTATCCACAACGAGGAAGCTCTTGGCCTGTATCTCACTTACTTACTTTGTGTCTGTCCTTTTAAAAACTATCCAATGCTTTTTCCCTCGGTCTTAAACTAACTCTATTCACCGTGAAATATTTGTGGTTGTTTTCCCGTTTACCTTTAGTAGTACTAAGGAACAGTGCGAGTTATTTTTGAAAAAAAAAAATGTTCTCAACTAATTAAAAAAATATCATCAAATCGAAAGCGTAGGAAACAATAGTTCTTTTTTACAAAATGTGACGTATTTGGATACTACCTGCCTCACGAAATCAATATTTAAAGTAAAAGAAGCTCTCGCACTAAGTAATACCATAATACCTACAACATAAACTGAATCGCACATGCTCCGTACAGGCAATTTTTTTATTTAAATTAAAAAAAAACTTCCTTAATCTATTGTACTAGTAAGATAGAATCATTTTACTGCGGGAAAACAACCACTAAAATTTCACGGTGTATTTCCAAATTTCATAAAAATCCGTTCGTTCGTTTTTTAAATTGCTTTATTAATACAGGATAGAATTGCCGGTTTCAATTGGCGCCGACTATACCTCATCAATTATTCTCACTGTCACCGAAATGCGGCTAAACCTGACGCGTCGAACGTACGTCGGTAATGTGGGTATAGAATAAGCACTAGATTCACAAATCAGGCGAAAGAAGCGGGGAAAATTGACACGTGAAGGGTAGAGTGCGAGACTAAAATATGTAGAGATGTCTTATAATTGAGTAGGTTTATGTAAGAACAGCTATAGTACCTCAAAAGTAAAGAAGGCATTACTGCGTTCTGCAAAAATAGAATTCAACATAATAAAAAATAAATAAAAATAAAATAAAAATAAAAATCATTTATTATCAGACAAAAGCAGTCCATAGTTTGGTTAGTAACAATTTGAACTTAGAGACTATATTAGTAGTAGAGTTAGTAACAATGTTCTTAGAAATATGTTAGTCGTACATCATGGGTTCTGTATATTGACTCTTTATCTATGGACGCTGTATAGCTTCACATGCCTAATGTGTAAGTCAACAAAGCGACCATAGACGGCTGAGTCCAGCCTCTCAGCAATCATTTTCAGGATTCCATTCCCACTTGTCCTCAGTCTTTGTAACACAGACGCAGTTGTTTTGCGCATAATTGAGTGAAAATCGTCAATATGAGCATCCGCGAACATGCCCGAGGCACTACAGTACCGAGGTAGTCGAAATAGAGCCCTGAAAATGTTATTATATTGGACTCGTAGGGCACCAAGGGACCGCTGCGTGAAACTGGTCCACAGACCACTCGTGTAGAAACTTTGGCAGTAGGCTTTAAATAGGGTTAGTTTTACCTGCGCAGTACAACGAGCGAATCTGTGGGTCAGCACCCCGCCACGAATCGCCAATGCCCTACGCTCTCTCTCTATGTCTTTGTCATCCTTTAAATCCTCTGTGACTATGTGCCCAAGGTACTTGAACTGAGATACACGTTTCAAAATTGCCCCATTCAATGTAAGAGGAGGAATAGAATTTGGTAATTTGTTCTTTCCTCGAAACACCATGAATTCACTCTTTTTCACATTATATTTTAGACCGTGCTTAGCAGCGTAAGTCTCACATATCTTTAATAACTGGCGCAAGCCACCAACCGAAGGGCTCAGCAGCACCATGTCGTCCGCGTAGCTCAAGTTATTNTAGTATAATAATGCATAGATAATTATTAAAAAATAAAAAAATCATTTAGCCTTAAAACATCATTTTTGTGATACATAGTGAACAGTAAAGCTCTTGGACTTCATCTCACCTCATACTTCACCCGGAATCCTTAACCAAAGCACTGGATATAATTCTTTAAACTGAAACCTAAAAGAATTTGATGGTAAACGTAGAGAAAATGGTGGTAGCTTAGCTTCCCAGGCACGCTTATAACTAGCTCTATCCAAATAACCGAACAGACATTTTTCCTTCATTGGAAATCGAATCCATGACCTCTAGGTCTGCTGTGTCCACTAGACCAGTGTTCCGCAAACGGTGTACCGCAGCACACTGGTGTATAACGTGTTCAATAGATGGTGTGCTTCAGAAAAATAAGGTAATGCCCGTTCTCACCACCAATCCCTAATTTTTAAGTATCCCCTATAAAAACAAAATGCCTGTTAAGTGTTACCATAGGGGTCACTTAAAAATTAGGGATTGATGATGAAACGAGATCATCGGTCCACCTAGTAGGAGGCCTGCCCTCGCTACGTCTTCCAGCCCGTGGTCGCCACTCGAGAACTTTTCTGCCCCAACGACCATCGTCTCTACGAGCTATGTGCCCCGCCCACTGCCACTTGGTTTTAGCAATTCTGCGAGCTATGTCGGTCACTTTGGTTCTCCTGCGGATCTCCTCATTTCTGATTCGATCACGCAGTGAACTCCAAGCATCTCCGACCGACCGACGATCTGGTAAAGGTCGCGGGAAGAGCCTGGATGCGGGCAGCGCAGGACCGTGCATTGTGGAAAACCTTGGAGGAGGCCTTTGTCCAGCAGTGGACGTCATTTGGCTGAAACGAACGAACGAACGAACAATGGTGAAAACGGGCATAAGACTGATGAAAGTAATTTCTTAAAAATTGATTTTACATTTATGGTGTACCTCCAAAAATTACGTTTTCCTAGATGTACCGCGAACAAAAAAAGTTTGCGGGATACTGCACTAGGCCACTGAGACGGTATTTTAATTAGTAACATACATTTTCACACCCCCTCCACCGGGATTTGAATGTTCTAGGAACCACGTAATATGGGAAAAAGTAGTGCTCCTGCATTTTCAGAATTGGATCCAGTAAACTTCAGTAAAGTATATTTTATATGTATATTTCGGATCGGTGTGCGCTCTATCGTATGCTTCATAACGTACCATTTGCTTAGCAAAAGTCACTCTTACTTCCACGGAAAAGGAATCTCAAAGACATTAAATATTCTGAGGTGCTGTATTGTGTACTTTTGTGGCTTTTCGAAAATCTTCTGTTTGTTTGTGTTTATGGAATTCGGAAGGTGTTTATGCGAATATTTATTTGACAATGTAAAGTCACAAGTAAGCAACTGTGAAATTGCCCGCCTTTTTACCCGACTGTGCCAGAAGGAGGGTTATGTTTTTTCTTCCATATTGACGAGTTTATAATTGCAGTAAATTGTCCTAGAACGTCGACTAATTACAAAAAGCTAAATGAGTTAAGTTTAACATCTGTTTAAGTGTTTTATAATAACACCAATCTATACTAATATTATAAAGCTGTAGAGTTTGTTTGTTTGTTTACTTGAACGCGCTAATCTCAGGGACTACCGGTCCGATTTGAAAAATTCTTTCAGTGTTAGATAGCCCATTTAATGAGGAGGGCTAGGCTACATACCTACCATCACGCTACGAGTAGGTAATAGGTGCAGAGCAAAAATGATTTTCACGCGTACGAAGTCGCGGGCACTGCTAGTAAGTATATAAAAATTGCTTTAACGACACAAAATATCGAAATCCATTCAAATTTTCATACTTAGGTATGAGCAAAGTGTGTACGTTCGTGCCTACATAACAACATTCCTCCAAAAATATCGCCGTCACTGTTAAAAAGCATCCATATAAATTAGGGGGCGTCCATAAATTACGTGAGACTTTTAGGGGGGGGAGGGGGTCAACAAAAACCTCACTAAATCTCACGTGGGGGAGAGGGGGGGTCTCAGGAAATATCACGTAATTTTTCCGCAAGGAATAGAGAAATAGAGTTTGTCAGTAAACTGGGTTTAAATCTTAAGTAAAAAAATTGGAAAAGTGCGTGACGTGCCACGCGCAGTGTAGAGTTCCGTAGTTGTCCGTCGTTAACAAAATATATTTCAGAAGCAAGCAATTACTTCATCTAAAGTCGCTTTTAATATTTTCTTCTAAGGAATTTTTATTAGATAAGTATAAAATTTTATAATACTTCAGTTAAATGACTATTACTATTAAACTAACTGACCTACCCTAACCGTTATAGTTTTCTTGAAAGTTCATAAAAAGCAGTAGGTATTATTATGATTTTTTCCACATTTTTCAAGCCAACAGTCTAGTTTTTAGAGGGGGGGACGCCCTGCTCGAACAAAAATTGGCACTTTAAACTTTAATAGTTTGCAAACGGATCCCTAAATCGAAAAATAGTCTTTGTAACTTCCAAGTCATCCAACGATATCCTACACGATGGTGTAGAAGACGAAAAAAATTCATCCTCACTTTACATGAGGGGAGCTACACTAAAAAAATGATTTTTCAAAATTTTATTCTACCGTTTTGTCGGCGTGATTAATATACATACCTCCATAAAATTACAGCTCGTTTCAGTATTCGTAATCAGTGGGCTTAGTGCGACTTTATATCGATCGTCATCCGCTAGCGACTGCGTAAAAAATGACATGCATTAAATGTAGGTTATTAATTCTACATATTGAAACAATAAAATTTGTATTGGCTCGTTGATGTAATTCGAGAGTTCGAGAGAATCGAGTGACATTTGAGTTGAAAAATATTGACATAAGAAAAAACGAAAAAAATGAAAATATTCTTGCTGGCCAGTGCGCGCAGCCAAGGAGGCGGCCGTTGCGGCCGCAACATTAAATGTATGATGATTGTAGCAGATACTTTCAAGAACTAAAATCTTCAACTTTATAGATCTTTTTGATGCACTCGTTAGCGACAACGGTAAATGCAAACTCGCACTAAGCACACAAAAAATACTTTCTCAGTTAAATTACTCCAAAACTATTAAATTTCGGATTTTTTTTGTATATCACGTGAGATTAGGNTTAGCGACAACGGTAAATGCAAACTCGCACTAAGCACACAAAAAATACTTTCTCAGTTAAATTACTCCAAAACTATTAAATTTCGGATTTTTTTTGTATATCACGTGAGATTAGGGGGTGGGGGGGGGGGATCAGGCAAAATCTCACCAAATCTCACCAAGGGGGGCGGGGGGGTTGAAAAATAGCCAAATTTGTCTCACGTAATTTATGGACGCCCCCTTACCTGTCCCCTGCCAAGGACAGGGTATTTTAAGACCTAAGTTACATTATATTATTAGGGTTTGGGTCTGCAACCTACCCTCATAAAACGTTCTAGTAGGAAGCACTTCGCGAGAGCCCGGCAAATCATTATAAAAGGGTTTTAAAATACCCATCGAGTCATATACCTACTACTGAATCGAGTTGTTCAAGATTAAATTGAGCTGAAATTCGGGCATGAAATTGGAAATTGATTGCTGGATATTTTTGTAAAAAGATTTATTAAGTAACAGGACTTGGGCTTTTCAACCACTTACTGTATGTTAATGTCAAAAAATATTTTAAAATACTTTTTAATATACATACCTATTTGACCTCTACAGGATGACATTGTAATCGTTGGCATCCTTCTAAACTAAGACTCTACTCATGATACATGGTACTTTCCCTGAATATGAGACAAATCTGATGAGTTTTTTTGTCTTAATTTTACTATTTATTAGTATTAGTGTGCTCTTATAAAGAGTTTAAAACGATTGTACAGTTAACAGCACATCAGCCTATACCTTTTGTTGCAAAATAACACTTACTACATCGAAATAAGATGCCACAGTGTTAAGTTTGATATGCTGTCATCTGTACAAGGTTTTAACTCATCAGATTGTCTCATTTTTTTGGAATGTACTATGTACCATGAGTAGAGTCTTTGTTTAAAAGGATGCCAAAGATTTAAAAGCCACCCTGTATATGTATAGTGTTATAAAAGTGTAAGGAGATGCGTTTAAATTACTATAATGTTTAGTTATTACTATTACTGTGTACTTAATATAGGGTTCATGTGTTGGTAAATAAATAATATTATGTAACAACTAACCATATGAACAAATGGTGAATTCTATCATTAAATACAGGTTTGATAGAGCTAAAGCTACAGACCATTTTAGAACAGAACAGAAATTTAACTACGAACTCCTCCTATGTTCTTCTGATTAATTTCGTTGCGGGTCCAATGACAGCTTAACTTTCCCCCGGGACAAACTTGACCTTCACTGGTTGGGTATTTTTTGGCGGTCAAGCTGTAGATCCTGGCTACACAGGAGTTGCAGCGGTGGGAACGAGAGGTGGAAAAAGGAGTCCCGAAGACCATTTTAGAAATTATTTGGTGGTTCTTAAAATCTGTTTCAGCCGTTATAAGTTGTAACGATACTACAGGAGAAAGGATTTATTCTTTTGATCAGAAATTGCAAAACTTCAACCCACGAGATGAAGGCTTTGTTGAGCTTCACGTGATTAGTGTAGGCGGTTTATCAGTGATAATATGGCATCGATATTAAAAATAGACTTCCATGAAAGCGTGGGACTCGCAGGCAAATTGGGTATTTTTAGATAAGTTTAATTTCACGCCTTGCATAGACTTTTTATGGCATTAGCTTTTCTGATTTTATTGAATTGAAAGGAAAATCCCATTTGAAAGGGAAAAAATATAAGATTTAATACACAAAAAAATATTATAAAAAAACTAGCTGTAAATGAAGAAGATTATTTATATTCGTCGTTTATTTACATAAAGGCATGCATTTTTATGTACACACGAAGTAGACAACAAACAAACAAAACTCTTACATACACACACTCGATAAAGCCAGAAATGAAAGCTTTGCTTTCGTATGGTAATTTTTAG